ACCTTGACTTTATGAATTTATAAACCGTACTAGGTTAGCAACAATGTCTTAACAATATACAGTTGAGTTTGTAACAGTGGCAAACGGAAAGAAAGAGGTTAAATTAAAAACAGCTTGGAACGAGACGAGAAAGGTTAAAGAATAGAATGATGGACAGAAAAGGGATTTCTTTTTAGTTCCAAAGTCTGTTTCTTTTTAGAGCAGAGATACTTCGAAGAAAAGTGATTCTGTTAGAAGATATTACCGCAAGGAGCCATGTGACGATATTTAGCTGACAGCTGATTAATGAGGTAGTTTAAAAAGCACTGATTATGAAAACACACTTTGGAAAGATAAAATTTGGTGATCTCTGTAAGCAAATCAAGAGAATAGTCTCTTTGTCTAAAGACCCAGGACCCATGGTGCTTAGAGAACAGTGACCCTGGTATGATTTAGTGGGGATGGGGTGTTTGACCAGAGAAACAGATGATAAATTTCTGATTTTTACCAAAGTTAGGCTGAGAAATTTCACTGACACGAAATTAAAATGATAATTTTAATTAATGACCAGAACCTAAGCCATGCCATGTGCTTGAGAGCCAGATTGGTCGAAGGACAGCTAAGGTGACAGGCCCAGGGGAAATACCAAGAAAAAAGAAGTGTTGGTGAGAGGTACAAATAAGAGAAGGAAGAAGTTGGATGGATCAATACCGTGTGTCTCTCCAGATTTGGAAGTATAATTAATTATCCAGAGCCAGACAACAAGGAGGCCTAGAGATAGGGAAACCATCAAGTCCCCATATCCACGTCAACCCCAATGCCAGTTTTGGGTGGAACTCAATCTAAGCAGAATACTGAGATGACAGAGGTTCCAGACTATAGACAACTGCTCTGCCGAATCTTATGACTTACTGACAGAGAGAATCTCTAACTTAAGCCTTGTTCCAGATTTAGCCAAGTTAAGCATAGTTTCACCACAAAACACAAAATGGGAAGGGATTTTTTACCCAGAACCAATTCATTGTATAAAAATTCTCATAGAATTAGACCCCTGAAGAAGTCTTGTCTTTTCTTTAACTGCAAGGACTTATTATTTTTTTTTTTTGTTAAATTCTTTTTGTGACCTAGCTTTGCCAGGAATGGACCAACATCACAATTTCTGACAGCAATTTCATCTTTGCCAGCTCTGTGATTAAACAACACAACATTTAACGGTTTAGACCAGAGTGACCAACTCAGCATCCAACAGCAACATTTGACCAAAAGCTGACCAGCAAAAAAGTGTTGTTAGTTAGCTAGACGTAACCGTAAGTTCTATGCTAATAGTTTTTCTTGCACTTTCCATTTCTAAAACTCTCTTCCAGCTCCATGTTTTCTGGCTAATCTTGATCCTCAAAAATTTCAATGCAATGCCAATTGTTATCTACTGTCTTCTTGATTACTCTTCTATTGTTCTCACTCCTTAATAATGTTTCTCTTTTTTCTTTTCACACTCAGTAACCCCTTGTGTCTTAGTGGCTTTACTGCCTTGCATGGGGTGAAATGATTAAAAAAAAAACATAAGTATAAAAGTTTCACAACAATCAGATTTCACTTTAACTATTTGATGATCGGCTCTATTAAAATACAAATGGATTATTTTGTATGCCTAATTACTAACTTTACATAAGTTATGCCTATACTTGTCATGTTTGTAATAAGATCGAGAAAATTTAATATACACGGGTTAATCAAAAAGTAATGCAATTTGTTTTATTATATAAGAAAGAAGGAACAATCAAACATAGCCTTAGAGCCACATCACATTGAAACAGGTTTTCATAGGATCACTAAAGTTAAGCAACATTGAGACTGGTCAGTAGCTAAATGAGTGACCACTTGGGAATGCCAAGTGCTGTAAGCTTGGATGTGTGGTTGGTGTAATGGATGATGGCTCAGTTTTTAATCAGAGAGCTAAGTTTCAATTCCAGTTGGGTTCGTTATAATCATTTACATGCAAATACCCTTTGCAAAATGTAGGAATCCCCTTCTCCCTCAGCTATGGATTAATTAGTAAGACTTATATCATTAAAACCATTATTATCTAAAAAAAGTAAAATGAAATTGCATCCAAAATATTTAGATTGCATCATTAAATGACCCATGGAGATTGATATGCTGCTAAACAAAACAACAAACATCTCGCATCAAGATATAGCTTCACATCCCGACTTCTTAACATAGTCCCTAAGTTCTTTCAATGGCTGTGTTTCAACTACAAATGAGGGCATACTAATTACATTATTCAGACTATTGTCTTTGTTGCCAAATTTATTACAACATTTCAGCCATTGTACGCTCCGGCCTTCTTCAGGTGGTTGGAATGTCAAACTAAACCCTTTATTTTGCACACTGGAGTAGACTGTTCTAGTTCCATGTGCCATGTTTAATGGATGTCAGTCATCTCCTGCTAATTTCCCTCTGAAAGTTCTCCACTGCCTTAACCGGGTATTGAACTCACACTCTTTGGGTCCTGTCACTGGATCTAACTAACGCCTTTAGTCCTTCAGGACACATGGCACAGTGGATAAGGGCGTTGGTTAGAGTGTGAGTTCAATACCTGGTTAAGGCAGTGAACTGAGAGGTTGAGAGTACTGGCCTTTTTGTTCACTCCAGATTATGTGCTCTCTCTTCTAGAAACTAACTAAAGTCTGTTCAGCATAGTTAAAGTATAAGTCACAGGTTGGCTCTGAGTGTTGAAGAAACACAAAAGTAGGCATCTACAACAATGATTAACTAGCCACACAAACATAGGTATACTCATATCAGCTATCTATATATATATATTTTATTTATTTAAAAATATGATTCCAATGCTACATAAGAGTTCTCATGTTTCAAAACAAGAGCCGAAAACTTCAATATAATTATTTGAATTAAAGTACCAAGCTCTGTTCCATCTTCAAGTGAATTATTCCAAAAAAAATTTCACTTGAAGATGGAACAGAGCAATTTAATTCAAATAATTATCTTGAAGTTTTCGGCTCTTGTTTTGAAACATGAGAACTCTTATGTAGCGTTGGAATCATATTTTTAAATAAATAATTATATTTAGGCTCTACTTTTATATCGAGCACTATTTATTTAAAAATAATAACAAAAATACTAAAGAACTTTGGATTATTTACCTAACGAGTTCTTTCCTATATATTTTTACACACACACACATATATATCTCAAACTCTGTCATCTCTATATTAGGGAGAAATTCTAAGTAGATGAAAGTTTATAAATTATAATTAATATAGTATAAAAGGTTTTACAGTGGGGGAGGAGTGACTTAGCATAGCTAAATAAGGCAAAATTCCACTATGGCAATTAGAATTAGTTTTTGAATTATGTCAATATTTGAAGAGTTAGAGGACATGGGAGTCAGAGGGTTTTTTTGAGTAACCAATAAGTTTATTTATAACTTATTGTTTTGATTTTAGCAATCTGAAGTGCTTATTCAATAGAAATACAAAAAACATTTTGAGGGCGAAAAACTTATTTTTTCGAGAAATTTTAAAAAAAAAAGTTTTTGTTTTACTTGTCTATAGCAACTATAAAATTTTTTGTTACATTTTCCTATTGTTTATTTTTACTATGTCTGTTTTTATTGGAACTACAAAAAAAAAAACCCAAACTCACAGTAAATGAAGTACAAAAATCCAGTATTGAGAAATTCCCCAGACATACCTTGTACTGAGTGAAAAGCACAAAAGTCGCTCAAAGACTGTTTTTCATTAGTTTTATATATATATATATATATATATACACACACACACACACAATTAAAAAAAAGTTTACTTTTTTCACTTTGTCATACATTTTTTCCAATATTGTTCTTGATATATAAAACTATTGTTGTCACACATGGTGTAAATGGTATGAATCTGTCTCGTCTCACCTGAGCTAAATAGTAGGGTAGACAGGTCTCTATAGCTTTGAGTGACAACTAGTGTAAGGAACGGTCAACTTTGGATTCATAACCCTGGAGAAGGCAATGGGGAAACCATTCGTCTCTTCCAAAAGGTCATGGCAGTTCACAGAGAAGTTTCATCTGTGAAGAGACATGGCATAAAAAAAAAAAAAAAAAAAAAAAAAAGTTTTAACATTTGCTTGTATATTGTGAATAGAAAAGCGCATTCATATTTTTTGATTGAAATCATTTTATTTTTTTTTTTTTTTTTTTAAATGGAAACATTTTTTTCTTTTCACTTTAAACAATTTAATAAAAAAATTACAAAAGGAAAAATTTATTTCATTTTAAGTTATTTATTTTTTCTGAAGGAAAAAAAAAAAAAAATCCTCTCTCAAACTGAGCCAGCTGCATTAAGAGAGAGGTATTGTATGTATGATAGATAGATAGATAGATATAAAAGAAAGTTATAAAAAATTTTGTTGATCAGATTTTAGTTGGGAGGAGAACAAAAACTAAGAAGAAAATAAAAAAAAAAAACAAACTGAAATTAAATTCGTTTTGATTACCTTTTTTTTTTTATTTTAATTATTTATTTGTTTATATTTTATTTTATTTTTTTTTTCAAAGATGTGACTTGTTAAGATCAAGTCCGAAACAAGATGTCGGGTCGAGGCGGGGGGGGGGGGATCTTGGAGGTTAGATGATAGAATTGATTATTCATGTACCAGCTTCGGCTCTTGTCTGTTAGTGATTACAAGAAAGAAAGAGGAAAAAAAAAAAGAATAATAAAACAGGCAAGGGGGTTGGATTCTCTGTCCTGTTTCCACGGTAACAAGGCAGGGAGGGAAGGAGATAGATAATACATAAAATAGTGTCATGGTAAATTTTCTTTTCTTTTATTCTTCATCTTTCAGTAAAAAAAAAAAAAATTATTTGCCATATGAGAAGAAAGAAAAAAGAACAATATATTGTTGTTGTTTTTTTTTGTGGGGGGGGTGTTGGTGGATATTGTTTTTTGGTTGCATCTGACAAGTTGCTGTTAAGTCAGGTATTGGTGGTCACTCACTCTTGGTCAGTCTTAATGGTGGCCAAGGTTGTCTTCTTCTTCTTCGTCGTCATCACCAGACTCAAAAGCTGCTAATTTCTGTTCCAACCTCTCAATACGACTGTCTTGCTGTTTCAGCTGTTCTGTCAGTTGCTTCAATTCATCTTCCAGTTTCTTTACATCAAAACTCTACAAATAAAAAAGAAAAAAAAAAAAAGTTTTGTTTTTTTTTCTACCCCAAATCTAACATCAAACATGTTATAAATTATCAAACTAAAAATCAACTCCTTATCAAATTTAACTACAAATGGAACAATCATTTTGCTGCCTGGGCAGCTAAAGTAGTCATGGGAGAGTGGTTTGCTTCTCTGTCAACCATCATAATATGCCAGTGACAAGACATTATTATATTTGGTAATGGGATAGTGCAGGGAGATGTGGAGCCATGCCTTTGCAAAAAATGTGTTAGCCAAAGCTGGAAGTCAGTCTTTCTGGCTGTTAACCATTACATCACCGCACACTTCCCATGAAGTTAAACAACATTTACTCACTTTTATTTCTTATGCAAAAAATTATATCACTCAGCATCCGCCATAGTTTACCTTTCCTTACACAGCTTTAATATTTTAGAGTGTTCTCAAATTTAAATTTTGAAAACATCATATTTTTCTCAACTCCTGTTCATCAGTACAAGTTAAAAAATAAAATCTCCAAATTCCCCTTGATAAACAGAAAATTATGTGTATATATATATATATATATATATATATATATATATATATATATATGCATGCATTTTTATTTTTTTAAATTTCTGAACATGGTCAGCATGTTGTTGTCGTGTTCATATTTGATGTTATTATACTTGTAAAAACGCAAGAAAAATTTAATAAAAATCTTAAATCACAGTATCTTGTCAGTTATCTTCAAAGAAACTGTACAAACCTCTCATCAACAGATTAATAGGTAGGAGGCGTGGTCTGTAAAAGCGGATTGTCTGTAGACGGGAAGGGATTATTTTTGAGTTATAAAACCACTATAGTAACTACCAATATTTATGATCATAATGTAAATACTATAAACATGTATATATAGTATAAATAAATATATACTTAATATACATATATTAAGCAAAAGAAAACTAATGGATTTCTCACATATACACTAATGTATCATACTTTTTATACTGTACACCTGTCTTTGTTTACAATTGAAAAGCTAGCCACTACTGCCAAGTGGTCACTTTGATTTGTTCTGCTAAGTCCGTAAATTTTGAAATACATTGCTGAAGATTTGGAAGATTTTTTGCCTGCAGATTTTGTCCATTGATGGGAGAGGAGTCTGTAGATGAGAGGTTTGTCTGTATATCTAGATATCCCAAACTTATCTCAATCACTCAACTGAAATGTCAATGACTGACGCACACAAATTATTTTCATAAGATAAAATCATTTTTATCCATTTCAGGAAGGCTTTTTTAAAATTATTAATAATTTACCCAATACAAGGCCCAAGAGCCACACATAGTAGAGGGTTATTGTGCATTGTCATATGAATATAAGAAGGGGACCAGAAGTGAAGTTCTTGGGGCTATGCAGGAAAGTTAACAGTTAGCTCTAGGCTTGAAGAGGTCAAGATTTAATTAGTGAATAACATTTCAGAGTTTAGACAGAGACGTTAAAAGTATAGAGTTGAAGTAGACTTTAGAAGGAACCGGAAATCCAATCCTAATCAGGAAACAAGGGTTAACCTCTACTCTTGTTCAAGAGAACAGGGAGGAGTGTGAACCTATCTACTCTTATTGGGAGAGAAGAAAAAAAAAACAATTAGTGGATAAAATTTCAAAGTTTAATCGGAGACATTAGAAGTATAGAGTTGAAAAAGTTTTTTGCAAGAAACCAGAAAGCCAATCCTAAACAGGAAACAAGGATAAATCTTTACTCCTGTTTAAAGAATTGGGGAGGAATGTGAACCAGATGATAAGCAAACCTGTTTTAGATGCATATGTGCACATTGCAGATGCAATAAGAACTTTTCAAGTGTATTTGTGCAAGATTTGTATTCAGATCACTAATGTCTGGCTTCTTGAAAACCATTAGAAGCAATTTTGATTCCAACAGGTTGCTTCATGAATCTGGGAATTTCATTCCAGAAATTTATTTTTCTATTCCGCAACTCACACAGAACGGGGATGCTGAAAAGTTCTTGGCCTGATCAAAAACGGTTTCAAAAAGAATCTGCTATTAGGTCATATTTTGGAAAGTTGATTGATATAGAAAATATCCTCAGTGATAATACAGTCAGCATTTTTGTACTAAATCATTTTGCCAAAAGTCTTTTTGCTTTCTTTAACTAAATGTTCACCCAGTACAAGAGACCTTGCCACCAATCTAGTATTGCACTTAAATTCATAAAGTCTCTAAGTACCGTAGAGGAAAGTTCATCCAAACAATTGTCATGAAATTATTTATAGAAAAGGAAAAGAGAAGCTATGTTAGGACAGTGCAAAAGGGACTGAAGCTGAGATGCCAGGTCAGGACCAATAACATGTTATATTTCCTTGGCTAGCTCAACATGTTACAGTAAGGCTAACTGGTGTCTACATAATATGCACACACCAACTAAATGCTCTGTTTGGTGGGGGTGCATATGGTAAGGATGGAAATACTGAAGAATGACCATTACTTGTAAATTGGGGGAAATTAAATTGAGTTAAAGTATCAAGCCCTGTTTCATCCTCAAGCAAAAATTTAGGAATAACCTATCTTGAAATTTAGGCATCTTTATAAGCATGTTCATTCGCAAAATTAATTAATTTTAACTCAATTTAATTTTGATAATTATATTGAGGTTTTCGGCTTTCGTTTTTGAAACATGAGAACACTTATGTAATGAAGAAATCATTTTTGAAAAAATAATTATATATATATATATATATATATATATATATATATATATATATAGGGAAATGGTTATAGTTATTTCAATGAGAGAAAAATATATATTTTAAAAAACACTTAGGTAGAAATTCACTTTTACTAACAGCACAAAAAGGAAATCAGGGCTCACTAGTAAATACTGAAAGCAGACAATGAAACATTAAAAGAACAAAGAAAATTTAATCCTTTTAATTGCCTGAAGAAGGTCATGAGACTGGAAACTCGTGTAGCAGAATTATGAAAAATAAAATATAATATATATACTAAAACAAATTCACATTATAACCAAAAACGTTTGCGGTTTCTCTCTCTTATATATATATATATATATATATATTAGTAGAACATTAAATTAATGGTCCTGGAACCAATGAACTCCAGATTTAACTTTAAACAAAGTTTGAAAAGTTTTAAAGGTATATAGTAACTAAATACTCCTACATATCTACTGGATTTACATTTGTTTATAATAATTTTTGTACTGTGCTGGGTGTATTTAGGTCATGAAAAGAAAAAATGCTTCAAATTAACAGAGAAACAGCTTTAACGGACGATCCCTCCTCTATTAGCCCATAAAATTGAGGTTCCGCTGTGTGTGTTTGTGTGTGCATATATTTCAATTAAAAGGTGCAAATATAATTTATAAATTCATGAATCATTCATACAAAAAACAAATATAGAGGTTAATGATTTAAATGGCGAGAATACATCATCGCAAACAATATAAATAAGATACATCAACCCCGAACCTGTATATGAATGATATGATCCCTGTAAAAAAGGATTCTCTTATTGCCATATTTGTACAAAAATGCACCACCTTAAAATTTAAATTAAAACTCAGCGTTGCGACCGCATGTTCCAAAACAATAACACATTTCTCATAGCATTTTTTCGGATTGCATCTCTATTTTCGTTGTCCTCTTATTACCGAGAAGTACAAACAAGAACAAAATCTACTTCCATACCTGATGATGTCTGTAGGAACAGACGAATGCTTGTAAAAAAATTAAAAAGACCTTATGCAACTGGAATTTATAAACAGGGATCATATCATTCATATACAGGTTCGGGGTTGGTGTATCTTATTTATGTGTTTCACGACGATGTATTCTTGCCATTTAAATCATTAACCTCTATATTTGTTTTTTGTATGAATGATTCATGAAATATATATATATATATATATATATATATATATATATATATATATATATATATATAATATATACTGGTGTAACACCAAAATTGTCCAAATTGTGTAACTGTGTGGAATAATTGCCCATCCCATAAAATGTTTAATATCTAGAAAAACGAACAAAAAAAAAAAAAACCACTAAACTAATTGATTTCCTTTTTTCAGGGTTTTCAGATAAGATGTTTAGCCATATGGCCACAATTTGTCATAAGAATCACTGAAAAACCCTTTGAATTATTCAGTTAAAAGGAGAAAAAGTTAAAATCATTTTGTGTCAGCCTCACTATATCTTCCCAACTGAGCAATGGTGAGAGGAAAATAGATCATCCAGGCCTTCAGAAATGGTACCAACATTAATATTCTGGCTTCCATCTTCAAAGTCCATTCGGGAACCATCGAGAGAACGGTGAATAAGTTTAAAAAATAGGGAACTGTAGAGAGAACTGAATCTGGAGGTCACAACAGCAAAAGGGATCATCGTTTCACCTTAGACCTAAATACATTCTTATTACTCAAAGAGTCCAATAGTGTTATAAAAACCTAGGGAATTCCAGTAGGATATCTTTAATCATTTCTAAGATACAACAGTTCAAAGCTTAATTTAACAATTGGGCAATTTTGCTGTTACACTTGTGCTTATAAAAATATCTGTGTACACAAAAATCATGCACAAGAGATGAACTGTGAACATAAGGATGAATTTTACAAGTATACAAATATACCAACAAACAAATTGACTGAAGGAGTGAAAGGCTTGTGTTTCCATGAAGCAACAATGTTACATTTGATATCTACACTTTTGTTTCAAGGAGACAAAATCTTTGGTGGCAGTGATGGTGGGTATATATATATATATATATATATATATATATATATATATATATATATATATATATATATATATATATATATATAAATAAATAAAAGCCAAAAGGAAAACTTTTCTTTACCTGTGCGTTTCATCCCTCAAGGACTTTATCAAGGTAAATGTAAGGAGTTCGTTCTACAACATGGATTTATAAACAGAAGGGAAGAAAAAATGTTATTAAATT